AGAGGTCGGGGAGACATGATCACCACATACACAATTCTCAGGGGAATTAACAGGGTAGACAAAGATGGATAATTTAACATGGTTGGTACACGCACAAGAGGACACAGGTGGAAGCTGAGTACCCAAATGAGGCACAGAGACATTTTAACGATTTTTTTTTCAGTGTCAGAGTAGTTAGTAAGTAGAATGCCCTAGGAAGTGATGTGGTGGAGGCTGACTCCATACACAGTTTCAAATGTAGATATGACAGAGCCCAGAAGGCTCATGAACCTGTACACCAGTTGAGAGGCGGGACCAAAGAGCCAGAGCTCAACCCCCGCGAGCACAAATAGGTGAGTACACGGGTAGACACGGATGAAGAGGGATGGGTGGCAGGGCAGCCTCTCCCTCTCGGCTAGTCTATGGTGGATGGCAAGTGTTTTATGGTGGCTTTTTATTAAAGGGGAACAACACGTGTCGTCAGATGGGAGGGGGGGGAGGGGTGGTGAGAATGAAATAGTGCGACTGGGGAGGAGTTAGTGAGGTGGGAAGCGATGAAATGAGAGATAGGATTGGGAAATGAGACTGGTGATGCGATAAGGAGAAATTGGGGGGACAGAATGAGAAGAGAAAGAGGGGGTAGAAGTAGCCTATCCCTTTGAGATGTATTTCCTTCTTGTCTCAATAAACATACTTGAACTTAGAGAGAGAGTTCGTATTTAATTGTTTTATTTTAATGTTTTATATTTAATTGTATTCTATTTAAATGTTTTATATATATCATTAACTATAGATATACTGATATTGTGTTATTAATAATATGGTAGGAGGGAGAGAAACTGAAAGATAGAACCCGAAAAAAAGAAAAATAGTTATATCAAGATAGAGATAAAGAGATAAAGAAATAAAAATAAATAGATAAGGACAGAGATAAGAGAGGGAGAGATACAAAATTAACTTCATGAGTGTTCCCATTTAACCAGAAAGAAGGAGAAAGATAAAGGAGGGGGGAAGGAGCAGCTGCAGCACAGCCAATACTACCGTTACTCTTCCTGTCACTAGGCTAGATAGGCTACTTGCCTCCTCCCACCGGCCGCACGCAACACGACAGGCTACTGGTATCCTGTTGGGACATCCTCCCGCCATCCAGGAAATACTTGCGTCTGATTCATACATTTCCAAATGTACGATGTGTCATTCCCCTCCAATAAAATCATCCATTCTATTAATATTTCACCTGTTGTCGAACCGGACACTCGTGTGCACTTACATCTTAACGTGTTGAGTGTTTGTTTAAGAAGACTAAACCACACACCAGGAGATGAGACGACGACGTTTCGGTCCGTCCTGGACCATTATCAAGTCGACTGAGTATCGACTGAGATACGCTCCTCCTAAGATGAGGAGCGAGGAGGTGGTTGTTGTTGTTGTTGTTTTAGATTCAGCTACTGGGAACAAAAAGCTCAAAGTAGCACGGGCTATGGTGAGCCCGTAGTGGACTTGCCTGGCCCAGGAGCCGGGGTGTATTGGGAGCGAGGGGGGGGGGGCACGGGCATTAAGAGAGAGGTGATTGATAAAGATTAAGCCACCCAAGAGGAGGCACGGGCATGAATAGCCCGTAAGAGAGAGGTTTCTTTAAATAACTACGATGGGGTACATGTTATGCATGATTGCCACATCAAAGCCATGCGCAAAGGCAGCGTCTGGGATGATCCGCTGAAGAGGATTCGAACCACTGCCTTGAACCAATCTCTCAAGTCTGGCCCCAGACCGGACTTGGAGAGTAGAACAACACCCAAAACCTCATCCAGGTCAAATTCAGGTATGTGTGTAAGCCTTGATATGATAGCACCGAAAAGGCCTTGAGAACTTATACACTGGTCGACTGAACGGTGAATGACAGGGGTCAAGGAGCTGAAGTTCAACCCAAGCACACAAATTAGTGAATACATAGACAGGTTCGAGGCGCTGACCTTCGGCAGACAGCTACCACAAAAAGAAACTGGGTAAGTTTATTATTCAGGAGGATGTACACCAATGTGAGGGAGGAGGATAATGGTGAGGATGGGGGGGAGGATGATAGGATGATGATGGGAGAGGAGGAGGATGGTGGGGGAGAATGATGGTGAGGGGGAAGAATGAAGATGGGGAAGAAGAATGATTATGGGGAAGAATGATGATTATGGGGGAAGAATGAAGATGGGGAAGAATGATGATTATGGGGGAAGAATGATGATTATGGGGGAAGAATGATGATTATGGGGGAAGAAGATGGGGAGGAGGATGATGATGGGAGAAGTTGACGACGATGGGGGGACAGGATGAAGATAGGTTAATGAATGGAACTGGCAGTAGTTAACGGGTGGAAGTGGTGGAAGTTAATATGAAGAAAACGTTTTGGGCGGAACATGTTAATGGGTTGACAAAATAGTTAATAAAAGATGAAGATGAAGGAGAGGAGGAAAATGGAGGGAAGATGAAAGAGGCTGATGTGGGGGGGGGGGGCGGAAGCTAATAGAGGAGAGGTGAAGCTGATATGTTGGGACGGAGGCTATGTGAGGAGGTGGAGAATGGAGAGCAGAATGATGATGGAGCGGAAAACCCCCTTCCACCTTCTCAGGCAATGCACGTCGTCTTCCACCGCCCAAGTGCTCAAGTTAATCACCTGGATAGGCTATCAAGGGCAGGCCAGATGCACCGCCATAAAACGACGATAAAACACGACCTGCAACAGCTTTGGGGAGGAACGCAAGATAAAAACCGTTTAGCGAGGAAACCCAGTGGCTGCAGACCTACGAGTCGCTGGCTGATGGCTGAATTGCTCATAATTATGGGTGGATTGGCCCGTTACCGCCACTGCGACGCTGAAACCAATAGCCAGGTGTGAAGTGTGTGCCTTGGGGACTAGTTACGAGTCCTCATATTCTCGGCTGGGCTTGGCGTTAATGTACGCGCCGGCGATACATAATTTTGAAATTTGCCTGTGCAAAGGCACGTCCGTGTGTAGCCTATGTTTTATCTTGAATTTTAAGTACGGGATAGCGCACCAGTGTCCTTGTTTGTATTTACAAATGTGTACAAATACAATGGAATTCAAACAGCAAAAGTCAACTGGCGCAATGCGAGGCTGCGTGTTTGGGGAAGCTTAGCGTTTGTGTCGGCTCTAACAATGTAAGTCGCTGATCTAAATTGAGTACTGTATTTGTTCAAGGCATTTTAATCGTGTAACCGGTATTACTCGCAAAAGAATAGAGATGTCTCTTCGTTGGATTAAAATATTAAAAACAATATCGACATTTAAATGGGCAATATACAAAAGTTTGCTTCAATAATTGTAAATACCTTTATAAAGTTACCTTAATAATATTTTTCTTTAAGTACTTAAATACGGATAATTATCACGCTCATCTTTTATCTGTTGCCTTGGCAATGCTAAGTCCTGAAATACAGCTTTGACCAAGTCAATGCGCAGGGAAAAGGAAATTATCAAGACCTATTTCTCCACAAAAAAATGTATATTTTCGTGTCTTCCTTTCAGAACAAGCCTACTGCCGTACGTTATTGATGAGAATGCAACTATCCGACGTACGTCAGTTGAGGTGATGCGACTGTTTGTTGTACGCCAGTAGTGGTGCTGGGAGGAAGGGAGGGGGGGTTAGTAATGAGGCTGCCTGACGGTGTGTCGTAAGAATAAGTAACTGCTTTCACAAAATGTTAACACAGTATTTGCAGGTGCAGCTATATAATATAAAGTTAGTGTGGGGGAGAGGGAGGTAACTGTATGAAGCGTATAGCACACCATGGGCTATATACTTCATATAAGAGCAATACAAAAATGAAAGTTAAATATCAATAAATCTCTGGCAGCTACTCGGGGTGCTGACCATACATGGCAAAAACATCATAAACCAGAATGAATCATAAAACACACGAACAACACCTACCGTAATGCCAAATTGCTTTGTCACCAAATATAGCATAGTAACATTTTATTACATTAAAATAATAATTATATATATTATATTATATATAATAAATATATATATATATATATATATATATATATATATATATATATATATATATATATATATATATATATATATATATATTATATTATATTATTCAGTTAAATAGCAAGTTTTTCCCTGAATGCTCTGTGTTCCCTTCTCTGAGGCTGTGGGTCCCTATAATTGCACCAGAGGTGGTACCCCCTATTATATTATATAAACTCTTGCTCGACTCCCTTAGGTTCTAGAAGCTGAGAATATAACGAAATTACCCTAATTACACTTTGTATTTACTTGCAGATAGTAAAACAATTTAATCATATTTATACAATACATATGAAAAATAGTAATACGTTTACCATAGTTAAACGTATCAAACAATAAATTAGTTTCTTCATCTTTAAAATATGATTACTTACACAGAACATCTCTGCAGTCACTCTTTCTCTGAATATTGTTTGAATGTATTACTTATATGCAAAACAAACAAGATATGAATACTATTTTTTATTTCAACATTTGGATGTCTCAAACCTGAGAAAAATATCATTTGATTGTGAATATAAATGCGATATTATATGCAGTAAGCACTAACAACGTTAACTTATTAAAGCCTGATCCCATCATCAACACAACCTGTCGCTCGTCAATGGATGCTGAACGACACCCCTGATTCATGCCCAAACATCCCAAGATTCAACAGACATTTCCCTTGACTCTCGACAACAGTTGGGTGTCGAATACTGTGCACGCTTTACCTCGCTACCACCACGCATTCCTTCACGTGAGCTACGGCTATTGACAAGCAATTGCATGCACAAGGCCGTTTTTGCAAGACATCCTGACAACATGACCCTCGGGCGCCCACTCCGCCCGACCCGGTATTGATTTCTCTCCGGACAACACTAAGAGAGAGAATCTAGCCCAAATTACTCCTCATTTTAATACTATGACGCTACCCATAGGCGTATTAGAGTCTAAGGATGATTTGTGAGAGACTAATATTCTTACCTTGGCAAAAAACAGCGTAAGTCACCTGTTCATTGGCTATTTCAAGAGAAAATTTGGACACAACCCGACGCTCACCACTACAGAGCGAAACTGTCAAAACAAAGTAAGTTCCCGTTTTCTACATCAAGCGCTCGGCTTCTAGACTGAAGCTCGAGATGCGCGCACACAATCTTCTACAGTTTTCTACATTTACGGATCTATAGTTGCATTGTAAAACCAAAATATATATTATATAGGTAATGAATCATTCATAATTTATCATTGATATTATATATGTGCAAAGCTTTACAGTGTTTTCGTGTTCTCTTTATGAGTAATCTTGGTTGGAGGTTTTGCCTCCAAAAGAGGAAGCTAGATTGTTGGGCATCACCCTCCCTTGGGTACCGTCCCCCCACGTGCACCCCCATCATGTACATCCACCCCACATCCTGTGTGGGGGGCGACAGTGCAAAAAAAATGTACAGATGCCCAAGAAGAAAGCAGAAACGACACCGTATTTGGTTGAGATGAGCTTATATAATAAGCAAATTAGACATACATTGAAATATATACATACAAACATTTACATATTCCAACATTATGTAGATGAACATTTAAAAATGAAATAAATAAATTGCATAATATGTGCCATTTTTATGGCACATACCTTGTACTGTACACGTTCAGGAGGAGCAAAAATCTGTACATAATGAAGTACTGAATTAATCATGCCTAATAATACCAAATATCAGTAGAGAACTAATAACTAAAGCGATTTGGGAGCCGTAAAGCAACACGAAGAGGAAAAGAAGAGCACAAAAAGGTGTTAGTTGACATTTCAGGTCACAGACGTAGTGTAGGAACGTTAAGGTCAGCACAATGTTTACATTTGATTGTGATGATTGATTGACTGGTGAAGATTAAGCCACCCAAGAGGTGGCACGGGTGTTGATGTTTATATATTCTCAATAATACATGTTACCAAGTCTGAGTCGAGACATTTACTCGAAATCTTACCATTTCCGCCCACTGGAAAGGGGGTGGGGGTTTGGAAGGGAAGGAAACTATAAGGGGCAAAGTGCCAAGCTATTACCACTATATAACACTTGGAAGTGAACAAAGTCAGTCGTCTTGTAAGGCTACCAACGACAATAGCCAAGATCTGTTTATACAAATATTTAATTATAGATAAGACTTGAGCCTAGGGTTTGTTAATGGCTGTAGGAACGAGCCTCTCGGGAGGTACTCACACGTTTGTAAGATAACTGAAGAACGAAAACGAAACCGAACGAAAGTCAACAGTGTGTCTACACAAAATGATTGTCGACATTGTTAATCTGTCATTTATTGTTCATTCTCTACTCCCAGCACAGCATCAGGACCCGCTATATACTTCCTGCTCCCCTCCCATGTCCTTCACTCTGACCAGGTCCTTGGTTAACTCACACTCAGTGCAATAATCAATTAGCGCCTCAACCCGGCTCTTGCTGGGACACTAACTTCCTAATGCTCAGTAATTTCGTGTTACTCCAACAAAATGCGATCTCTGCATTCTGCCTCATGAGATCGACAATTTTCCCAACAAAGTCCATGCTGAATTCTACCACCATACAAGCCAAACCACTACTGCATTACTCTTCACGCTTTGCTTTACCACATTTTTACATATTACGAAAACTCGAAATTTGGTAACGATGTTTTATGTGGACAAGCTCCGTCCCCCAAACTTTATTTTAACGCCGGGGCCCCATTGACAGGCACTAGGCTTCACGCCGTCGCCAGAGTACCTGAGGCGGCCCCCCACACAATTTGTGTTACTTTATGGCCTGTATAACCCGTATACAGATATTTATGAGCAGTGTTGTGGCTAGGCGTCCGTCCAGACAAGCTTGGGCCAGATTCACGAAGCAGTTAAGCAAGTACTTACGAACGTGTATATCTTTCCTCAATCTTTGACGCCTTTGGTTACATTTATTAAACAGTTTACAAGCATGAAAACTTGCCAATCAAGTGTTGTTATTGTTATAAACAGCCTCCTGGTGCTTCGGAGCTCATTAACTGTTTAATAATTGTAAATAAAGCCGCCAAAGATTGAGAAAAGATGTACAGGGGCCGGATTCAGGAAGGTACTTACGAAGGTTTTTCTGGTGTAACAATAAACCAAATTTTTTTTTAACAAATAATGCACCTATATGGTAAAACAAATCCTGTCAGCTGTAAAAATATTGATGCAGTTATTTAAATGAAAAATATAATGAAAGAAATATTACTGGTTTATTTTTATCCTATCTTTTTGTACTGTACAGTATATCCAAGGAAGTGAAAAATTGAGACATAATGCACAATTTAATGAATGATTAGCATGGATTAGCAGTTCAAAAGAAATATGACTATTACATATCAACATGAGATCTTAATGATCCATGGTCAACATGATTTAATAAGGATAATACAGTACTGAATTTGTAATAATACAAACTATAATTTAAAATCTTTATTACTGATTTTTTTATTAAGAAAATTAGGTATACACAGCAATGTACTACTACCCTATTCTATATGGAATATTACAGTGTAGATAAAAAACTAGCTATAAGTTTATCTAATACTCCCATCTCACAGGATGGTTAGACATACTGTACATGGAATCAATTTAGAAAATACCAGCCTCAATACAAAATACAAATCAACTCTGACTAAACAACTCTAAGCAATTTTCACAAGAGGTAAGCACTGAATCATGGAAACATTATATTATAATTACTCTTACCAGTTTCTACAAGACTCCTCTCAAACAATGTATTTTTAAACATGTTTAGGTATACACAGCAATGTGCTGCTTCCCTATTCTGTATAAAGGACCACACAGTGTAGATCAAAAACCAGCTACAAGCTCATCCAACATCCTCACCTCACAGGATGGCCAGTCATACATGGAATTAAGAGAGAACAAAATACTTAATGCTGATCTATTAGCCTCCACTGGCAAAATCTGGGTGCAGCACAAGAATATCTTCCAATATTCCTGAGTGTATGAAGTAATTACAGTGCTCAAAATACCTCATACCATTTGGTATGAAGTCACTGATAACAGGACAATCACAGATATAGTGTTGGAGAGTATGTTCTCTCAAGTAGGACTGAAAACAGATGTTTTTTTCCACCAAGAGGGCTATAAACCCATGGAACCGCCTACCCGCTGAAGCCGTAAATGCCAAATTCCAGCTAAAAAATATCATTAAGACAATTGGCGGGCCCTTTAACAAGCCGCCGGCTTTCTGTCCTCTTCGAGGTCACTAGATAGTTAGTGGCCCTTGGGTAAATTCAGTAAATATATACAATAATTGTCAGCGCATCTTCCGAGCAACAAGAACAGCTACACAGTATCTCTTAGAATTACGTAGGTAAACAACAAATGTAACATATTTGTTTACTACAATGTCGGTGCTGGCTGTAGAAGTTGAAAAAACATTGTTTTACTTCGAAATATACTAATTTTATAAGAAAATTCGACGTAAATAGGAGGCAGTAGAGCTCCGGTAAACCAGCGCTAAATCTTCAATATGAAGAATGTTGCTGCTCTCTGATTGGCCAAACGAAACGCAGTAGTGACCTCTATCGGCACGTAGGTGAACCAACAAATTTCTTCCTAAGTGGACCTTATTGAATCGCACCTAAGCATCTTCTTAGGGCGCACTTAGGAACCTTCGTAGCAAACCCACTTACGAAGAAATACACAGAGCTTCCTGAATCTAGGTACTTTTACTCCATGTATCAATGTTGTTGTTTATAATGGATGCCACAACATTCTTAGTATCAATTTTGCAAATTGGGGTTTCAAATGCTTGAAGAGCTGAGTTTGAATCACAAAAAAATACTCCACTGTTTGTCAGTGCGTTAGTGCTAAGTTGTAGTTTTTAGTTTAGTTCATTTATTACGAACCCCATATGTACAATGGGTTCGAGATGTGATTAGGTGCGAAAAGATACGTGATTTCAGAGACGCTATATAACAAATATTCCCAGACCTTGGGAATATTACCCAGACCTTGGGAATATTACCAAACCTTGGGAATAATCATATGTACCTTTACCTTCAAGGAAAAGAAAGTTATCGTTCAATTGTATAAGTCTCTGGTGCGCCCCCATCTGGATTATTTTATCTAAACATGGAGACCTCATCTTCAGAAAGACAATTTGCTGCTCTTGAAAAGGTGCAACACCGGGCAACAAAAATCATACCAGAGTTTAGTCATCTCTCGTATCAGGACTGGTTGAGGGTTAGAGGGCTAACAACACTGCAGGCATGAGAGGGCGGATCTCGTAGAAACCTTCAAAATACTAAATAATTTGGACGATGTAGATCCCGACACTTTCTTCAAAAGATCAGATGTAACACGAACAAGGAGCAAAGGGTTCAAGCTGAACAAGACCCAATGTAGGACAGAAAACAGATATGCTTTTTCACATATAGGGTTGTAAACCCGCGGAACTGCCTACCCGCCGAAGCCGTAAACGCCAAAACTCTGCTGGGTTTTAAAATACAAATAGAAAAGATCATCAGGGCACATGGGAAGGACCTTTGACAAGCCGCCAGCTTCCTGTCCTCGTCGAGGCCATTAGTATTCGTGGCCCTCATGTAAATGTTCAAGAAAATCAGGCTATGCTGGAGCACCACCCACTCACTATAAAGGAAACGTGATTTCACTCAGCAGTGAAAAACTAAATATGATAGAATGCTCGAAATCTCTAAAGAACTGACAGAATGCTGACAAAATGAGAGTTGGAGCGTGTTTCAGAGTAGACACAGCAACGACGGAAGTTACAGACCTTATAATATTAGCAACTGATTTTGTACACTTAAATTCGCTTGATTAAAATCTCATATAACATGACAAGTAGAACAATTGATTGACCCAATTTTCTAAATGTAGCATATTTAGATCGTTGAGGCAGATAGACAGGTAACGTTTTGTTGCTATTACTAGGTCTCAATTCACCATCTCACTACGAGATAGTGAATTTTCACCATCTCACCTTCACCTAGGGATTTTCTTAGTGAGCTTGCAGATGTGCCTAACTTTATTCTATGGTAGCAATATTTAAAGCCCTTTATGTCTCAGTCATGCAATGTAATTCTTGGCAGAATTATACTTCTTCCTGAGTTAGAGATTAATTGCTAGTTAGTTACTGCTTTTGTCACCCATTTCGTCCCCCTCCATATCTCTCTCCTCGGCACATATTTTTGTATGAAGTTCAGTGATGATCCCGATAGTTTTATTATTGCCGTCAGCAGCAAATAATTAATTGTGCACTCCATACTTATTATGTTTGCATATGAACATACAGCACATGCCAGGAAATGTATATGGTTTATCTCTCAGAATGTTCGGCAATACGTTTATTGCTTGTGATATGTGTTTATGTATGTATTAACACGATGTACTGAACGAGGTGAGAATAGCTTGAGCTACCTCATCCCTTTGTGTGTATTTTACCTCAATAAACTTATTTCAATTTCAATTACAGCACATGCCCACCGCCGTGTGACATGAGGCTAGCAGTTTACCTCAGTCACCCTCTCAGAATCTGATTTGCCATTACAGAAAACTATAAGATGTAAACAGAATATGTTGTTTAAAAATATTTCAAATTATTATCTACAACATAAATTAAGATCTACACGGCTCCGGAATTTTATGGACAGTTTCTTAACTATTTAATTCCTTATTTTGCACATCATTGATGTGCAAAACTCATGGACATAATGATTAGCAATTTCATTATTGGAACCCTTATTTCGTAGCAGTTTTCGATGGCCATGTTTTTGTACGCCTCACACCGTCTAGTGGACACATTTCCCGTCTATTAGCTCGCGGATGACCTCATTAGCCGGGCTGGAGAAGGTCAAGTGGCAGAGTGAAACATGGAGGGAGGGCTGGCGGAGCCCGGGAGCGGCGGGCTGTCGGGTGTGTCGGTGCTGGAGGCCGTCGGCTTGGCTCGGCAGCAGTCGGTCCCTCTCGTCAAGATCGTCACCTCCACCGCCCGACACCCGCTCAGTGACGTCATTACCCGACACCCGCTCAATGACGTCATTACCGGGCCCCTCCGTGACGTCATCGCCAGACCACTCCGCGACGTCACGCTTCACGCCGATGATGTCACCTTGTCGCATGATGACGCTAAGGTACAGTGGTACTTTTATTTTGTATTTAATACCGTTGTAATTGTTAGTTGGCTGTTATAATGTATAGTTCAGTGGTTAATTGCTAGGCTCTCAATAGAAATTGGGAAGCGAGGCCAGATGTCTCCGGATAGTCTCACTAAATTTTGAAGGATAACTGCTGGTTGATGGGGATGGTCATAGTGAGGTCGGGGTCAACAAAAAAATTCCACATCTACCAACAAAAAAAAAATCCAAATCCACCAACAAAACAATTCCAAATCCTCTAACAAAAAATTCCAAATCTGCCAACAAAACAATTCCAAATCTGCCAACAAAACAATTCCAAATCTGCCAAAAAAAAACCAAGTCTGCTGAAAAAAATCCAAATCCACCAAAAAAAATTCCAAATCTGCAAACCAAAACTTCCCAATTTTCAAACAAAACAATTCCAAATCTGCAATAAAAAATCCAAATCTACCAACAAAAAATTCCAAATCTGCCACCAAGACATTCCAATCTGCCAACAAAAAAATTCCAAGTCCACAAACAAACAAAAATCCAAATCTGCCAACAAAATAATCCAAATCCGTTAATAAAAAATTCCAAATCTGCCAACAAAATTCCAAATCCACCAACAAAAAATTCCAAATTTGCCAATAAAAAATAAAAAATTCACCCAACAAAAACTTTCCAAATCCTCCAACAAAAAAAATCAAATCTGCCAACAACAAAATTTAAAAGCCGCCAACAAAAAAATCCAAAGACGCACAACATGAGTTAGAGTGAGGATGTTGTAGGGACTGTGCAAGGAAGCAAAGGCAGTAATAGTCATGACATTCCTGTAGAGTAGTAGGCTTTTGGCCGTGTGCCCGTATGGCCGAAAGTGGACGTAAAATGAAAAAAAAAATGAAAATCAATTTGAGATTTTTTTTTCAACAACAGTTAGTTAAGGGTCCTCTGATAGGTTAGTGGGCAGGAAATTCTCATAAAGTTTCAAAACGTTATGAAAAACGTTAATTGAAAGTTTCCTCTCCTAACCTTTCCGAGTAAGCCAGATGACTCAAACAGAAAATGTGACAGTACATCACTTTCGTGAGCCGATTTCATTTCAAATTACATCCACTTTTGGACATAGCGCACAAACGAGCCAAAAGCGACATTATTTTTAAGAGGACGGGTTGCACTGTAACCATAAGACCCCCCTACTCTTATAAAAGTCATTACACAGATATTTTCATTATAATCTTTATACTTGCAGGAAAGCTGCACTACAACCTCCACCCGTCATGTGACACCATCCACCACCACTTCTTCACTTGGAGAAAGCAAAGCAACGACAACCTTTCATATAGAACCTGACTGGCGTGAAGCAGCACGAGAACCAGTTCTCATAGTTAGATGCAAGGTCAGAATAGATCATTGATGTTAACCACTCTCTGGTATTCGATCCCTTTGAGTTATAACTGCTATGTAGATTCATGTTTTACAGTAAAAGCAAAACAGCAAGAGGCAAAAAAAGAAGATTGATCTTGAACGAAGGGTAATTCACATATTGTTAACAATAAAATAGTTGAGATAATTTTGACTATTGTATGGAAATTTATATTGATAATCATGAATTTCATGATGATACTGTAATCATATATATATTGCAATAATAGTAAGCTAGAAATATTTAAAAAATTAGAAGAGTTGTAATGTAGCTGATTGGACTACACCAAGTGGAAGAAGAACAAATTCTTTACCTGCTACAGGACTCCTTTCACACACAGCATTCTGGACCTTGTGTTAACACCAGAAGAGGGCATGATTGATTTAAATACAGAAAGAGGAAACACTCACACCTTCATGTGATCATAAAATTCTAAGATGGATTACAATTATAGAAACCAATGTAAAGGTCCAGGATGATGATTTTATAGACTACCCTTGAGGAGCTTTTCAAGGAATGAGAGAGGAATTGCAAAATTCCTCAGGGAATTTTGCAGGCCAGGCTGACTAAAGCCAATTGGTCAACTACTTGTATTACCTCCTATCTCTAACACATGTATAATTATTCCCAAATATTAATACAGTACTGTATACTGATCACGTCAACAACTACAATTGGTAAATATTTAGTAATAAAAACAATTTCTCTTGCTCTTGCTGTTTGCAGGTATGGTATTAGGAAGCAATTTTAGTTAAATTAATGATATTGAGTGGCCATAGACCAGAAGTTAAAGTAAGAGGTGAGTTAGACAGACAGTTTTAGATATAAGGAAAGAAAGCCTATTAGTGGGAGAAAGAATACCACTAGTACTTCAGAGACTGAAACCAGCTAAATTTTCACTAATAGTTTTTTTCGTGTAGTTCATTTCCATAATTCATCTCAGTCGAGTAATGCTTTATTATCTGTTCCAGAAAACCATTGCAGAACTTGTTAAGAGCAAGTTCGGATCTGGGTCTCGTGGGAAGTGTATTCGACTAGGGAAGCTATGGTATACACCAACTGAGTTTGAGGCACACTGTGGAAGATCAGCTAGTAAAGACTGGAAGAGAAGCATTAGGTAATAATGCAATATCTCTTCAAAGATGCTTTCAGTATACCCTTCAAAGATGCTTTCAGTATACAATAAAATATTACAGTTCTGCCATACTGAATATATTGGTATACAAGACTGAGCATTATTTTAGTATGTGTTAATTTACCTAACATGTTTTCAGAATTGTACTGTTCAGTACATGGAAAAAAGATAATACTGTAATAAGCTAAATAAAGAAAAAGTAAAGAAATATACTATACAGATGAATGCTTTTTATCCACATTGGTTGTGACCAAACACTGTGTTACTATACAGCCAAAGTTATCTTTGCATAGGGATACCCTGAATATTTACATTACTATCATTTACCTGCCATATATACTATGTGGTAAGTAACAGTAAAAGCCAACACTATTCAGTTAAAAGCAAGAAGCAAATGCCAAGCCCAGCAGAAGTTACAGATGTTGAGCTGGTGTTACCAGGTGTAAAAATGAGAGGGGGGGAAGTAGGCAGTTTGAGATCTGAGGTGACTTAGGCTGTAGTCTGGTGGCAGACAGGCACATCACAGTCAAGGCATTTATCCTGCAGCAATGAGCACTTTCCCTGTTTTGCTACGGATGCCTAATTTCTGTAAAATATTTGCTTGTTTTGTTGCATCTATGCATTCTGGTTGATTTTCTCCAGTTTTGAGGTTGATCACTAAGCCCCTTCTTCCCTTGTCTTGTAGAATAAGCCAGATCCTGGTTCTGGATCCTGGTAAGGAATAAGGGGGGTCCTAGAGGCTCTATTTATGTTTGGTGAAACCAGAGTTAAACTCAGAATGCCACAGAGGTCTTTCCCAGAAAATCTAATGAAGCCGAGACTTGTCAATTTAAAAGTAGAGACAATATTAATAGATTATTCTATGCATATATATACAGTATATATATTTTATAACAGTGTATTTCTTTCATTCATTACTCTTTTTCTTCAGGTTCCAGGGTCAAAGTTTACTGACCCTAATAGAAGATGGTTTTCTTCAGGTTCATGCTACGTCATGTTCTTGTGGTGCTTGTCTGGATGATGATGCTGCTGTAAGTATATGTAGTCTTTTATCTGGTATTGAATGTTGCAGTAAATGTTGCAAGCCAAGAGTTATAATCAATTTCTTACCCTCCATGAATATAGCTAATGCACCTTTATTGCAAAATTACATTATTTTATTTATGCTCATGAAAAATTTAATGTTTTTGTTTTATTTTACAAGTTACTGTAAGAGCTTGGTAATCTCAATTCCGGTAACCTAAATCTTCAGGTACTGAAATCCAAATTAATTTATGTTCATTGTTTTTGCATGAAGGGAGAAGTAAGGAGGTAAACAATAGGAATATATGAATAAATGGCTGGAGCAATCAGGTAAACGGCAAAAGTAAACAGGCAAATTATGAAAATGTGAGAGTAAATGGCAAGAGTAACCGGGTTGTGGTACAAAAAATTATGAATTTAATCATTTTTGGACCTACTCTGTAAGAAATTTGATTAACTCGAATGTTTGGCTAACTCATATGGGGGCGAGCCCTTTGTGATTCGGATTACCAAGCATAGCCAGTACAGTTTCATTATCTTTACATTCATACCAAAGAAATAGTAATATAACATTATATTTGTCAGCTTTGGTTGCAACTAATCAATTTACTAAGCACACTAATTTAACAATAGCTATATCTCATTGTAGTGAAGAGAAGATCATGTAATAACTTTAGGCAAATGAAGATGGGTATAGCTGTCCTATCCTATATACTGTGTATAGTTGTTCAGATTTGACTTGAACAAACAAACTGAATTATTTACAGAATGTAAATCAGACATTGAATTTATTAAAAATTTACATTAAATTTGTTTAACAGGGTCTTATATGCTTAAGAGTTCCAAGAGTTGAGTGAAGAAATGAATTAATAAAAGAATGATTATTTGGAATTTAAATGTAGAAATCTGAGCAAAATTTTAAAAGACAATTTTACACCATTTAATGAATTATATTTTGAAACATCAGTTTAGGTTTGAATTTCAGGCTGGTTCAGTTCGTTTACATCGTCCATACAAACGGAAAAGAAGAGATAGATTCTTTTTGGATACCGAGAAAGCCCTCAAGCATAGTGTATCAGAAGACCATGGCTCAGCTACACCAACAGGTATGCCATATACAACTATTATAATATAAAGTGTCTTTCTGAGTACACTTTTCTATTTCTCCTAAAGACAAGATTCTTATGCACTCATTAATGGAGTGTTAAGTCAGGCAGGATATCATAAATCTACCTGAACTATAAGGGTTAAATTGTCTCTGCAGGGTCATATCAGGGGCTTTGGAGTCACTTCAGTAAAAGATATTCAGCCAAACAGCAGCCACACATGGTCTGTTCACAAGCTCATGCCTTACATATTTCACATGGCTGCCAGTGATAAACATGAAACACCTAGAAACCCAATCCAAACACACATTTTCTCACCAGCTATTCCTAATGTCAACAGGAGGCAGGATTTATTGTGACAGTGACCATATACATCTAATGATTCAACACTGTTCCTGATCACACTATGCCATGATTTGGCATTCAGGATCCATGATTTCAAATTATACCGACCTTACCACCCAGTCTGGTGGCTCTATATGGTATTCTTCAGTTCGATAACTGGTCAGTTAATCGACATATTGCTTATGAGTTGTTTTCAGCATGTCTGATTGTTTTTCCAGCTGGTATCTCAGAATATGTCTAAGTGTCCAGCAGTAGACACTTGTCTGGGAAAGAGAGGTTTCTGGTTTGAGCACAGTTTTGCTTTTTGGTTTGGCTATTAGCAGGAGGGCCAAGGGCCCTGACTATGGTAAATCACCCTTTTGAAGATGAGGTCTCCATGCTTGGATACAGTAGCTCAGATAGGGGTGCACCATAGATTTGTATAGTTGAATAACCCTTTCTTTTCCTTGAAGTCAGTGGTTTGTTTGGTGCTTAATTTTGCCACAGTTCATTCCTGAACAGCTTACAATGACTGGTGGATCATAACTCCTAGGTCTTTTTTTATCAGTTTTCTACGTGGTTATGATCTTGATCTAGTAGTTATGATGTTGTAATGCCCTACATATAAGGTCTTACATTTTTCAACATTGAAAAGCATTTGCAAGCTGTCTGACCATTTGTGGAGTTTATGTAGATTGCTCTGCAAGGCCTCAATATTGTTTTAACATCCCACTGTATCATAGATATTTGCATCATCTGTAAATGTGATGTGGTTTTTGATTTTCTAAGGTGTGTCATTGATGTTTATTGCAAAAAGGGTTGGTCCCAAATGCAAATTTGAGATACTCAACTTACTTACTCAAACTTCCAGTCAGATTAATTTCCATTTAGGTTGACTATTTCCTTCCTGTGTTCAAACCATTAATTTGTCCCAAGCTAATTGATGATAAATTCTATTACTGGTCAGTGACTGTACCAGTGTCAGGTCTAGGAGAGTTGACTGTGGTACCTGGTATTGTGCTAGGCAGTGGAACCCCATCATCTGCAGGAAGCTTAACTACTACACCACAGGCTACTTCTTCCATTGCCAATCCTGCAAACAGCCCTTCTCCTGGAACCCTTGCTAACCTACCACTGGATAAAGCCTGGGAACACATGAATGAGGTACTGAACTTTCTTATAATTTTTGTCTGAATTTTAGTCTCTGCACTGTACTGTATAATATATATTGGCAGGCTTTTAATGTAATTTCAGTTGCAAAATATTACATTGGTGATATGCAGTAAAATTAAAAAGATTAATTTTAAATAAAAATATAATTGTTTTTGTACAATGGCTGGTCTATCATTGTAGAAATATTTATATTTATTTATTTACCTAACTTTATATTGTGTAACCCAAGGAGCTATCAAGGGGGTCCCAGAAAATAAATGTGTATTGGTAAAAGAATAACAAAAAAAATTAAAAGTGTTCACTTCTGGGTACAGTAATATAGAGGTGAAGAAAATGGTTCGAACACAAAATGCAATAAAACTGGGAAACTTATTAATGACAAAATTTGCAAAGTAAATGCTGGATAATCATGACTGCACAAAAGGATTTACAGTAATTGTTCTCCACAACAGGTTCTGGTTGGTTTGGAGCGGAGTGTGTCAGGAGCAAGAGTACTTCTTGAAGAGCTTAGGGAAAGAACACAACAAGAGACCTTTGATTTGCGGCAGAAACTTTTGGAAGAGAAAGATGAAGCTGTGACACAAGCCAAATTTGAAGCTCAGCTATCTAACATGGCCAAGTGTGTTATTATTTCAATTTATTACATCAGTAGGAAATGTCCAGTTTTTCCATCAATTTATAACTCAAAATTACTGTATATATAAATTATCTACAATATTATGGGTCCTGTAACACAGTGGGCTATGTCCTCGGCTCATAATTGATTGTTCCGAGTTCAATCCTCGGGCAGGACATAAATGGTTGGGGACGTTTCCTTTCACTTGATGCCTCTGTTTACGTAGCTGTTAAGTTAAGAATCTACTATGTCAGCCCGTCCTCATAAACAAAGGCCAAAGCCTATTCCATGCCCCTGCCATACTCCCTGCTAATGAATGAAAAACGGTTTACACACGACTCACAACTGATGACGTTCGAACACTTTTGAACAAGTGCTTCGCTGATGAATTTTGTTCGAACTACTACGCTGTAAATGCTTCACCCACATACTACAAATACAAATAACCACAACAGAACCTAAACACCTAACCTAACCAATGCTTAAATATTCACAATATGCTAATAAATAATATTAATTTATATTTGAGAAAATTCCCATTTGGAATGAACAGCATGTTATTATTGATGAATGCGTCTTTGGGATCGACCGCTAGAGAGAATGGACTTGGTCTGAGGATGGGTTGACCGTGTATTATGACTAGAATCATGCACAGTTAGAAAAGATTACCAGTATCCAAACTGGTGCCACACGGAACTTTTCAACAGTGATGGGACATCCCTTTTGTTACTCTAATGGCTTGCCTAATGTTCATGTACAATAATGGCCTCAAGGATGAGATTCTCAAATTTGCTGATTTATATTTCTTTTATTCTTGCTTTGCAAATCTATAGATTTAAGACTGAAGTTGCAAAGTGTTAATAGTAGGTTTTATCTTGACCTTCGCTTTTCTAGTCTCTCATTTGTTGCCCAATTCCTCTCATGTCCTTGTCTTACTTGCTGGCAAGCTATAAAAACTTTATAGTTCATTTATCTGTCTGGTTCTGGCTCTCCAATGCTACAATATCTACATCTTGTGGAATGTCAAATATTAAATATTTTATATTTAAGTGTATTTTTTCAGCAGCACTTTGAAGCCTCTCATTTTTTTTTATCTTCAATTGTAATAACTTATTGAAAATTACTACCTCATCTAGAATTCTTATCTTGATAGGTTTCTTCTTTGTGACCAGTTTTTCAATTTTGTAATTTTCTACCATGCATTTTTGTTTGTTTGTGCTCAAGAACAGGCACTGGTAACCGAGTGCTACAGTGGATGTTATGCATGTAATTTGGTCACTAGGTTAAGTACCATGGGATCTGGCCAGTAACTGGTTGGTTAACTGCCTTGCCCTACGGACAATTTTGCCCTTGGCTAAGAAACCTCAATAAGCCTAACAAATTTCAGTGTAGAACTAAATTTAATTGTACTACATTTACAGATCATCAGAGGGTTTTCTTGTCCAAGTAAGGGAAGATGATGGCAGTCAGTCCTTGCAGCCAATTATGCTAGATTCTTTGATCTCCAATGTACCCAGCCTCAATCCAGCTCCTCCTATCAACGGTGTCCGTAAAAAAGTAAGTACAATAAGAGCCACAGTAAATTTTATAAATATTCCTACCAGAAATGTTTATGGTGAGGAATCCAATTAAAGTATGATTTTGTAATTATTCCAATGAGCATGCAGTACACATATTTAGAACACTCCCGTAGGCAAAATTTATCCTGATCTCAGGATAAATTTTGGAACTCAGTTTTCGGGGCCAGTGGGTTCATATTTTGCTCTATGGCAGTACATTTTTTTTTTTTTTTTGCATGTATATTTACATGTCCTTTGTGTGATTGTCTTGACCAACTGGTGCCCCAGTCATCTTTTCTGTTCTAGTTTGGTTTATGCTTCAGCAGTGGAATCCTCATAGTACATTCACAAATTCTCTGTGCAATGTTCCAGAACTAGACATTTGTACTGGGCACTCCATTTTGGGTACACTCGCTTTGTGTGAGGGCATGCCATTTGTTTACCTTGCCCTGTTCTATTTCTGCATATCTGTACTGTATTTGTATTAGCGAGAAGAATGTGGACATGCCTGTTCCAACCTTTTCCCTTAAGCCTCTTAACAGTATTTGATTACAGTATATGCACAAATTACTGGTCATGCAGTCACTAAATTGGTCTACAGATTAAGTTCACGATTTTATTCCTGAGTTTCAGTCACTATTTTTTAATTGTTTTCTTTGACAGTGTGTCAACTGCAATCGTGAGAGCGAGTTAGAATGTTCAAGCTGTCATAACCGGGCTTACTGTAGTGACTTCTGCCAAAGACGAGACTGGGCCAATCATCAGAACGAGTGCGGCCGATCAAGTCCTACTTCAGAAGATACACTAAACACTGTTACACAGGCTCCTGGCTACATTTTTATGCTCTCGGATTAAATATAAATTATTTAGTGTACAGTACTGTTATAAAGTTTTTGTATTTTGTTTACACATTAATAATATACATCTTGAAATATTAATTGTGTATATAGCATTATTTATTATTAACCCCGAAAAAAAGCAGTCATCATTATTTGTTGATCCAGGCCACAGCAGTCGTCATTTGCCAATTATTCTCCATTTTATAATTATATTATTATTATTATTACCATTATTGCACAATGAAATCACATTAATGTGATGTATTGATGAGTAAGAAAATCGGTAAGAGCCTCATGGCTCCTATTCATTTTCTCATTACTAGTATTGTACAGTATTCTCATTTTTGTGGTGCATAGTGTGGCCTCTTGAGTTCCTTTCCCTTCAAACTTTTGAAGTGTGCAGTAGTTCCTCTCTGTTGAATGACCTTCCAGACAACAATGGGGAAGTCAGCTCTGTATAGGTGGCTTCACTTATACATCCTTCCCAGGAGAGGAAGGAAAAGGGTGGGGCTTTTTACTTTCAGCTTGTTTGCTTGACCCTTCATTTCTCCGAGGGTCTCAGGAACACTCTTGATACCTCTTCTTCCCCCCCCCCCCCCTTCCCCACTGAACCCCCTGTTGTTTGCACAAGAGACAACAGTGAAATCTCTTTACAGTCAGGTTCCTCTGACAGGTGTCCATCACACAAGTTGAAATAAAAAAATGTAAAATTCAAGCATAGAACTTGAAAAAAATTGAGGTATGAAAGGTTTATTTCAATGCTTTACAATGACCGACAAAATTTTTAGTGATTTTCATAGATGAATACAACACAGAAATAGTTAGTGTTTTTGAAATGACACTGAGCATATTTAAAATAAAATGATATGGTTCACTTTAATTTTGACCCTTCCAAAATATCGTCCTTGACTTAAGTCCATTACATCTAGCGGTCGACCCCACAGACGCATTCATAGATCTTAACATGCTGTTCATTCAAAACAGGAATTTTCTCTCATATAAATTAATATTATAATATACAGTAAGAGGGCTATGGCGATGTCTGTCTGGAACCCTTAGGTGCGGGACTGGGACGTCCACCTCCTGGGGCTCATGCTGTCCAGGCTCAGCTTCAGGAAGCTGGGGTCATTCTTACTCTTGCTGGGGTTGTTCTTATCCTGCCCTGACCACGGCGGTCTCCGGGTTTGGAGTCCATGTGCCTTCTTTCACCAACTTCGATGTCAACTCCAAAGCTCACAGTTCCTGCGACAGCGTTGGAACCAATCGTATTGGCATTTGCCTTTCTTTTGGAGACTTTCGGCGCCGTGGAGAGAGGGGGACCTGCTGCTTGGGTAACAGCTTCTCCTCCGTATCAAGCTACCCTGGCTTTGCGCCCTGGAGAGGCCACTCCAGATCGACAACCAGAGTGCAACTCCATAGTCTTCCGAGACTGATGGATGCCTACTACTATAGGCATAGGTTAGGTAGGTTAGGTGTTTAGGTTCTGTTAGTGATTTAGGTTTAGGTTCTGCTATTTGTATTTGTAGTACGTGGTAAAGCATTTACAGCGTTGTGATTCGAACAAAATTCGTCAGTGAAGCACTTGTTCTGGAAGTGTTCGAATGTCTACAGTTGCGAGTCGTGTGTGTAAACCGTTTTTCATTCATAAACAGGGGGTTTGACAGGTGCATGGAATCACTTTTTGGTCGTTGTCTGGAAGACAGGCTGCTGCACGAGTCATACAGAGATAATTTGAAGTACTGCACATGATTTAAAAAGTTCTGCAATTACACGGGGCCCCCTTAGCTTTCTTAGGCTTCCAGTAAACAGATTCCGTTTTGAAAAAAAAAATAAAAAATCGTGGACACTGTTTCTGAGCATGAAGGCTTCAGTACACTACAGAATAAGCTACCAAGGGTGGCACATGCCGCATGGGATTATAACACAGCTGTTCATCTTGTGTCCATAGGATCACTTAAAATTATGAAATATGTACATGACTGCTATTATTTTGCAATGATAGCATCATAGTAGTGCCTGACCGTGATAAAAGACTATGTACAATGTTAAGATATCAGTGAACAAAATGCTGTTTATGTTGTTCACATCATGATGCAGACAGCCACTGCACTGCCATTATTTGGTATATCTGTGCCTCATGAAATAACCACATGCTCCTTATGAAAATAAACTTGTGCAACATGATTCATATTCAGGATTTAGTGATGAGAACTTGATGATAATAGCAACATTGTTCCTAGATTTGTGACAGATGTGTTATACCATCCTCACTAAGATTCATGTAGTTTATTAAATGTTAGTTCGTGTTATGCATAATACTTAATATGCTAGATGGATCTTGGCGAGGATGGAATATTTTTTATTTAGCAAGATTGGAAATTTAGTGTAATTTACAATTTCACACAAAAGGGGGACATGGGGCTTGACCCTGACCAACCTATGTCTGTACCCCAGACCAATTACCCTACAAAGTTTTGAGACTAGCCCAAAGCTTCTAGTCTCCAACCTCGAACAAACAGACACACTCTTATATAGATGTAACATATACTTTGTGTGTAAAATGTTACTGCAGATGTAGATGTATAAAATACTATTATTAGAACAGATTTTCAGTTTCTTACCAAACCTCATGCATTCTAATTTTTCCTGAACAAATTTCCGGGAAGCAATTTAGGGTTTAAGTAATCTTTCCTTGGTAAGATTGTGGGTAATTTCCTCAAAAAATATCTTCCTGTAATGTTTAAAGTACATGGGCTAATTTCTTATTAAATCGATAATTCATTTGTTTATTTATAAAAATAATGGACTAATTAAAACCTTACTCTGCATTGCCTCATAACAAACCTCTGAAATATAGTAGGTGATAAAATAAATTATATTTTTAATTCTTCCCTTTTCCCACTTGGCTGTACATCCTTTGGATCCACTGTTCAACTTTCCCATGTCTGTGGCACTCTTGCTCTATGTAACAGTGGAAGACAGTGATGATGACTGACTTAAATCCAATTTAATAGTGAACTCATTCATGGAAGAATCCAAATATATCACTTCCATTTCAGTATAATGGTGTTTACTGTGTAAAAACCAGGTTTTGAATTAGTATATGAAAAGTGCCTTTTTTGGCAGATTATTTGGCTTCTTCCTAAGGTAAAATCTGACGTGTCCTTTGGCAACAGGGACAGTCAGGCAAGATGACGCACAGTACTACACACACAAAGGACAAATCTTTTTTTATTTTAGTGAGCAGACAGATGTAATAGTTCAGAAAGTATTTTCTCATATGCTGTTCAGTATTTTAATCTTTCACATTACTAAAGATATTTACTGTACACAATACAATTTATGTTTTTTTTTCCCTGAAGTCTCACCTTAGAAATCTCTATAAAGTTTGTAATTCCAGTACCTATTTTTTTTTTTTTTTAGTATTTGTAGTTACTGTATTATTAACTTATTTTTAAATATTACAGCCACTTGCACAATTTGAATAGTACAAAGCAATATTATAAGTGAAAATGGACAATGTGCTGATGATTCTGGATTTGATAATATTATAGCTAAGGAATCTTCCTGTGTTCCTATTTACTGATACAATCAAGGTACAGTATATGAACAAATTTGTTAACAATTACTGTATAATGTTATATATTTACGAATTTGTTTGAATTATATAGTAAATGCCATTTAAAAAAGATGTTATATATTTTTAGTGCTTGTTGATATATACAATATATCTTTTTTAAAGTTTTTGTATTTATTTTTATTTATTTATATATGCAAGAAGGTACATTGGGTTTATGAGAGTACATAGCATTGATGTTTTTACATTCTTGCAAAGCCACTAACATGCATAGGATTTCGGGCAGGTCCTTAATCTAAAAGATATTTTTAAGTAGGTAATTTGTAGACAAATTTGAAGAACATTAATAGGTACATTGTAAGAAAATTTGAAGAATATTAATAGATACATTGTAGTAAAATTTGAGGATTATCATTTAATTATAGTATCAAGTATAGTACAGTATTAATTATCAAGTTAATTATAGTACCAATATATTTTTGTTTCTTGCAAAATAATTTTGCACTCTCAGTGTGTTATTTAAACAGACTTGTTACATACTGCTTTTATAAAATATAATTAGTGTACTGGTATTTTATTAGTCGAGTAAAAATATGTAAACAAGATTTGTTTGGGATCTATCTTGCATTTGTGGTTTGAGTGTTTCAGTGTGTGGATGAACTACTATTTACTGTAGTAATTTATCTAGTCTCATAATCTTTTATTATATTCATGGAAATATGTAGTTCTATATTTTCAGTCTATATACTGTATTTATTAATATTGTAGTGTGCAATGACATTCACCAGCCAATAAGAACTTCGATACCGAGGCAGTAAGATATGGATTAACAGATTCAATATAGGAAACTTCTTAATAAGGATAATGGTTGAGAAAAGTATGGCATGCTAAAACATATTGTCATTTTGAACAGTTACGGCTAGTTACTCACTCTGGGTGTACTGTATTTGCATTTTTAGAGATATTAAACAACCTTAAAATATGAAGTGCTTGATTAAAAGGATGTAATCATATTAGATTTGCAGTAAATGTCAAGATTTTGTATGAAAAGTGCAAAGGTACAACGAGAACACTTATTCATGAAATTAGAGAAGGTGCCGATTGAAATTATAAGTTTGCACGTAGAAATCTTAATGTATAATTCCAAGCCAAATACAGTACTGTATTGCATATTATGGATGGTTATGGTACAGTAAGTGGAGAATGAGAGATTATTGCATAGCTATTAATGGACTGCATTCAATTAAACACACCTGAAGGTGCCTGTAACATAACACTTTGTTCATTTTGGCTTCCACATAAATCATCACATTGTAAATGTAGAATACTGTTTCAATAAAGAGCAGTTTAGTTTTTATATTTTTTGGTCCTCAAAAATGTCATGCAACACTAAACTACAGGGTACGTAAATTTTAAGTTACAGTCTTAATACATATACTGAATATACTTGATACATATTCCTAACAACGTGACCTAGCATAAGCCTACCCTTCCTTTAATCTTGTTCTCCTGTTTTCTCTTATGATCCCTTTCTTTTTCCTATCATTACACCCTTTATTACACTTTACCTTCGTACCTTTTGCCTTACTCTCATCTTCCTCTAGATTTCCATCTCCTCACCTCTCTCTTGCCTACTTAATGCTCTTGCCTCCCTCGTCTCATCATAATTGACTTGATAATGGTCCGGGACAGACCGAAACGTCGTCAACTCTTCAATTTCCAGTGTGTGGTTTGGTCAATATTTTTCAGCCACGTTATTGTGACTTTTCATCTGCACATATACTGAATGTAGTAACCTGGCTCAGGTCAAAGGTCCACCCCTTCTGAGAGGTCACAGAAATTAAATATACCGTTTTGCCTCCACAGAGGCAAAATGGTATATTTTGCAATTTATCACATGGTATAGATTTTGGACAGTGGGCAGGATTGATATTGGTCAAAAGCTGTTGATTTTTACTATTATCACCACGTTTAAGGACTGGAATTACTCAAACCTTGATAAGAATATTGGGGAAGGCTCGACCAAAATGCAAGTGATTTATTGCATACCAAAGCTATGTCGGAGGTAAAAATCACAAAGTGCTTTTATAAATGAGGGTTGGCATCTCAAAGGTTACTTTATGTAATTCCTCTTATCGAGTTATTTTTATCAAATTCAAACCCAACAAATTCCTCATATGTTAGGCAATTATCCAGAGAGTCTTATCTGAGAGATAATTTGCATTGATTTGGGATTTTTGGATCTCATTTGCAAGGGACCAGTTGAAGGGAAGAAACTGTTGAATCTAAAAGCAGTTCTAGTAGTTAATTTCATTCCATCGTCACCAACTATACAGTAATAAAAATAGTTCTTGAAAATCATTTTCCACAAAATGGGATCAATGCTTTAATCAAATCAAATCAAATAAAAATAAAAACGTTTTAAGTAGCTTGTTTTGGCAATATTAATATCTTGTAGCATTAAGGAGTACTTCTTTTTTATTCTTTAGGTTGTAACTTGTTTAGTTTAGCATGGGATATTGATTATGGAGGGAGGGGGAAAGAGAGAGGGGGTACCTATTGCCTGGGTCAGTCTTCCATCTATCTATCAATCCCCCCCATTCACACTCCCCATCTCTCAGAAAACATATTACATACATTATTAAGAACCACAAACTACTGAATCTGTATGGGTCTAAGAAATTATGACAACAAACACATTAACCACACACCATATTTCACTTAACTCCCTGAAAGACTACATGAAAGTGGCCTAGGGAGTGTTCATAATTGCTAATATTTCTTAAAGCATTGAACTTCGGCTGGTCGCGGTGATGTTTGTCCTTCGGATATGACGATGACCATGACTTCAATATCGAAGGTCGGTGGCTGTGTGTCAGATGATGGAGGGTGAGACCAATCTGGAACCGGAAGGTTCCCCCCACACACGGAACATTTGTGGGTGGATGCAAGGCCGATGTCCATTCCATACCCATGATCATTTACCCTGCAAATTTGGGTGAGGCTAGTCAAAAGTGTCTGGCCAGTTTTTATTACCGATAGCAATAAAATTGCTTATGGAAGCTTCATTGTGCAGTCTAAAGATATTCATTGTTTCTAACAATGAAGAATACTGAGTTCTTGTTTCTATTTACTCAAGTTTTTGTTCTGTTGAATTTCTTGTGGTTTTGTAGTTCCATCTCTCGTGGAGTTTCCATCCAGTTGATTTGTGCTGCCTCCAAATTGGTTATCCTATTCACTGGCTTTACCACTTCTTCTAGGCTTGATGCAATTACAGTCATTAATGTCTCTTAACTCGCTGCCGCTACTTTGTGCTATCTTTGTCAGATGCGGGTTTGGAGTGCTGGTGCTCTGTACATGACCATACTCAGTGTTCACTTGTGTTCATTTCAACACCATTGACAGTCACTAGCAACAATGTAACATTTGACGACTCCAGTTCCGACTCTCACAAGACGCTACAGCCTCGCTACAGAGTACACAGCCAGATTTCACCCGTGTTCGAACTTCCCACAAGTCCCGCAGCCTCGCCGAAGCTTTGCTTCAGACTTCGGCTCAGCTATCACACGTCATTACATTTCTAACAACCGGCTACTGTAACTACGACTATAATAAACATCAAAAGCTGTTAAATTCTTTGAATTGTGTCACCCGTATTCGTATATTTACCTGATCTGTTACAAGTCTTGGTAGTATAGTGGTATAGTCACTATTGCTCTCGACTCGAGAATTGATGATCCCCGGGTTTGATACCCCGGGTCAGACAGAAATGATTGGAGAAGTTTCCTTTCACCTGATGCCTCTCTTCATCTAGCAGTAAATAAGTACAAGGGAGTTAGCCATCTGAAATTGGATACCAAGTCACATTGGCATAGATGGTAAAGTAAAGTAATGTAATGTAAATGCAGACTCGCTAGCAAAAACTGCTACTGCTTTAACTATTGTACAGGTAAAAATACATCCAAGTTTCTCACAGATTAAGGAGCAAATCAAGAAGAAAATACTCGCATCAAAAGTAGCCACAGAGCCAAAGTAGCGGAAGGCAGACCCACTGGCGGTGTGGTATGAACAAGCTAATGAGTACTCTTTCAAGCCGGGCAAAAAGATATCCAGAGATATTGCAGTAACAATACAGACTCAGACTTGGTTACAAGTGCTGCTGGGAGGTAATAACCTCAATAGTTAAAGAGTGAGATATTTGTAGAACAGATGCATAGGCGGCGCTATTACACTACTTTCTGGAATGAGAAGCAACTGAAGCTCTGCGCATCAAACTCAACATTCATCCAACAAGATCAGCTGCATTAAATGCAAAATCCACAGCGACTACAATGGTTAAAAAATAGTTGAAGAATGGGACACACTAGTGAACATTGTTTATCTATATCCGCCACCAAGATAACGTTATTAAAACAAAAGACAAAAATCAATGCGAAAATAAGGAAACTTTTCCTTCATTTAAAACTTTGACCCAGATATCACAGTAACAACGCTATAGTGAATAACAGAACTGAATTACGGGTTCACTATCTTCTTGATAGTAGGTGCAATTTGCATGAAAGGTTTATCCCCCCGATGACTGCACCAGCCCGGACTCACTATAGCCCGTGCTACATTGAAATTTAGGTCCGAGTAGCTGAATCTAAAACAATGTAGCGAGTACAAACAATACTCGCTCCAACCTCTCATTAGCTTAATGGCGTAACTAATTTGCACTAATTACAGAAGTTATAATCTTTTCCCTAATTACAGGTAAGTCTTTCCATCCTATCAACCTATTAGCGGATGATGAGATGAGGTGCAGTCCAATCGTAAAAGCAGTCCAGAAGCAATTAATGATCCTGGTTACAGGCTATTCATGCCCGTGCCACCTCTTGGGTGTCTTACGATTTATCAATCATCAATTAATTAATGATTAGTATAATTTCCACAGTGATTCAGTTAACTTCAGTACAGACGCTTCAGAGTTACCACACCTCTTCAACCTCAAGAATGTAGCACTCGGTGTATGCAGGTCTAATCGACCCCAAGACACGCCAGCTTCGACACAGAGCAGACAGCAGACTACGACCGCATCGAGTTTAGACACTCACAATTCCCCATCTAGCCGCCACGTTCGCCCGAATCGAGCTCCGCGCCTCCGGCGTCACTCAATTTTCTGCTTTGCTCCAAGCTCCGTCTCAACGTCTACGACACTGCCAACATCCGACTGCTGTAATCAATACTAAATAAATATGAAACCCACTAAACACTGTATCTAATCTACACAACAACGTAACATAATCGTACGTTACAACAACAACATAGCCATCTGTAATGGGGGTTGCAATTTGGGGAAATTGAAATAAGTTTATTGAGGTATAAATACACACAAAGGGACGAGGTAGCTCAAGCTATTCTCACCCCATTCATTGAGGGGGGGGGTTTAGTTCGACCTTGTGGAGAGCTCGATACAAGCCTAAAAAGTATATATACACACAGGCTTCCTGTCCCAGACAAAATAAATTAATTATATACACCGTTGGGAGGTGTACCCAACTTCTCCGAATATATACACCGAGAGTTTAGCTCGCTAGTTGGTCTGTATAGCCTTTAGATGTCCATAGGCATTAAGCCAAACAACAAATGAACAGATACCTTAATTACAACGTCACTTCACTCACCACATTTCCCCCCCTGACAAGATTAATATCTAGCGTGACACAGTGTGTGTTTTGTTTTATCCATCTAATATCTTGCCTTTTATTCCATTTGCTTATAATTCTTTGCCATTCTTTCACGTGGGGTCTTAGGGTCTTATTAAGAGCTTCAGGGAAGTCAATGTATACTAAATCTACTGGAATTAAGCCTAGGCTTGAGTGATCACCATTTCCAAAAATATAAGGTTATAGCCATATTAATTTTTGTTTTGTTTTTTGAGGCTGGAAGAAGCTAAAACACATTGGTCTGCAGTGTTTCGAGTAAATAAGCAAGGTATTATTAAATGGCATTAATGTTCAATGCCTCGTTATCTATGACAATACCACTGCCACTTATCAATCTATTTTAGATAAACTGGCGACTCTAACCTTTGCTAATTTTACAGCGAGGCATTTTCCGACCTGAACAGATGAAAGACTTGGTATTAGAGAAACAAGTTAACGTAATGTCGTCACTTTGTCGTTATTCCTAATGCAAGATCCAGCTGGCAGTGGAGTCGAAGTTGTAATGCTGGTTGCTCCTCTTTCAAGATGCCTTGAAGGGCAGGATAGCCTCAGGCACTCTGGCTGTTGTCATTATGGTGGTTCTAGAATTTAGACAGTGGTTGTCTGGTCTCTGTACGGGTCCGCGTAGAGCTGGCTATGCTGGACGTACGATGCGTCTGCAAAGTTTGAGGGCTCGGCAATCGACGTCCTTTTACCATCACTCCTGGACGGAGGCAGCAGGAACAAAATGCAATTAATAAGTATTCCTACCCATATTTAATTAATAAAATATTGATTATAATAAGACACCTTGGGTTCGAGCAATATTAATTGGTTTCAGTATGGCTCAACTAGTAAACGTTATCTTGTCTTGGGTGATCAGATGTCAGTGGGTTCATCACTCATCCCCATCTTCCCTGTCCCAAACACAGTCACAAACGCTATTACACATACAAAAGCAGAACTAGCACAAACAAGGAGGGCTGGGGCTTGGGATCTGAAGCTCGTCCCTGGAATCACATTTGGGCGAGTACGTAAAGATAAACACTCAGGAAGATTGCTTCGTGTAAGGTCACCAAGTGGAATACCTTACGAGGATTGATTGAAGATTAAGCCACCCAAAAGGTGGCACGGGCAAGAATAGTCCGTAAGTTGTGGCCCTTTTGAGCCATTACCAGTATCAATAGATGATACTGGAGATCTGTGGAGGTGCGACTGCACCCTGCGTGACGGGAGATGTCTCCCGCCTTACGAGGGAGACTGTAAGGCTTAAAGAGGATCGAGAGGCGCACTAGACGAGTAACAACTGGAGAGGCGGTATCCCAGTAGCCGGAGTTCGATACTGTAAAGTAACTAATCTGAATTTACCTGAGTTTACTTGAATTTGTCCTCGATGAGAACAGGAAGACGGTGGCTTGTCAAAGGTCCCTTCATTTAGCCTGATGATTTTTTCAAGCTGGATATTCTCCATCGTGAGAAACACCTGAAGATTGATAAGGTCCAAAGTTGCTACAAACCGGCCTCCAAACAAAAACGCAACTATGATCAGGCTGCACTGGCTTAATCTGTCAACTCTTACAAAAAAAAGATAGAAGGAGACACGATCACAACATACAAGATACTGCAGTGATTAGACAAAAATAATGTGGCAGTGACAGTCTATTCCACAAGAAAGGAAATAGAACGAGATGACACACAAACTGGCAAACAGTGTATGCAAGAAGATGCATACATGTAGTGAGGATGATAAAAATGGGGATGAACTGGAAGCGGAGGTGATAATATCTCCAAACACACATTTAAATGCAGATATGAGGTATGGCTTTTGAACGAAGCAAACAATTAACACATCAGGTATCCAATAACTAGGAAGCGGGGCCTTAGAGCAAAATTTACTACCCTTATTTCAATCAAACATGAACAAATGTTATACAGATTTGGAAAGGGAAACCAGTGAACAAGTTCAAATGAACACTGAAAATGAGTTAGTGACCGAAATTTGTTCTTTAACGAACACAATACAATACTCTTCAAATGACATACAAGAATCTAAGGCACACGGATGAAAATATTGTAATTCTTTCACTGAAAAAAACATAACTGGTCAAGAACAAAGAGTAAAAATTATTTACTTGTTGTTGATACCAGACTTGGGCAACCCGCACTTGGCCGAGGCTGGCGCCACCAGCGACACGACCACCGACACCAGCACCACCACGAACAGCACAGACAGGCACACGATGGTCACGACCACCTCCGTCTCCTCTGCCTACCGGGAGAACAAGTGGAATGTGCAGTGAAAGATTGCTAGTATGGTGAAGACTGCTAGTATGGTGAAGACTGCTAGTATGGGGGACTGCTAGTATGGTGAAGACTGCTAGTTTGGGGGAATGCAACCTGCTCTCGCACAAGACAGCACATATATGATTTATTGCTTATAGTCACTATTTCGCTTATAAATAAGTACATGTGTAACATATTCCAAGCCAGATTTTTTTTCAAGGCACTAACTTTTTCTCCCAGTTTTATTAAACAATAGAGATTTTATACAAAATTTGACAATATCCTGAGTTACTTTACAATTTATTTAAATATTTAAGTTTTGTTTTATTATTTGGGGGAAAGACTGCTAGTGTGGGGAAAGACTTCTGTTGGTAGGGAGGCGAGAGTACCCTGTGGAGGTGTTTATGTTCAGCTTTCAACACCGAGAGGTCTGCTAGTTATGCCCTGTATGTGTAAAAGGAGCGTTGAATAGTCTTGGGGCCTCTCAATCGTCATGCCCCTCTGCTTTTAAACGGGGTTATTTTTGCACTTCCTGCATGCCTGTTACCTAGCAGTAAAATAGGTACCTGGGTGTTAGTCAGCTGTCACGGGCTGCTTCCTGGGGATGGAGGCCTGGTCGAGGACCGGGCCGCGGGGTCACTAAAAAGCCCCGAAATCATCTCAAGATAACCTCAAGAAGATGCCTCTTGGTCTCTTAAGGAGTTATTACCGTGTACAGATTTGGAACAGGTCCCTCTAAAAAAATTTCAAGTGTAAATTAATAGTTTAATAATTAATAATGATTTACTGTGTCGGGGAACTGGCAGCCAATGTATATACACATGTTAGGCTTATATCGAGTTCCCCCCCCCCCCCCATGGTCGAATTACTGACCCTCTCCAGGATCCAATCCCACAACAAGCTAATTCCTGGGTACCTATTTCCTGCCAGGTGAAAATGGACCATTAGATGATAGGAAACGTGCCCAACCATTTCTGTCCTAGTGTTTTCCACAGTTTAGAGTTAGGAGCCGTAACATAAGACAGGCAACGCAATGGGCACCGCACTATGGGATAATGAAGGGTTGATGGTTATTTCACTAATGTAGTCAGTAGCAGGTCTTTACTTCACAGACTGAAGTAAAGACTTCACAGGTTCTCTATTGGGGGAATGACTGGAAACTGTAGCTTCGTCTGCATGGTAATGTACCGTACAATATATACAAGAATGTCAAAAGGACACGATCAAATACCCCAACCAATGAGCATTTTATAGTTTCTTGAATAGCATATTAATTTAGTTTTGATATACTAGTCTTATTAATGCACGAACCTTTTATTTTTTGTATAATAGCAGTTCACTTTTCTGAACCTTTATACTTTAATGTACACATTAAAGTGTGAGATATACAGGCATCCCACACACACGCTTACCTTTGCTTTCTGCACCCGATCGTCAATGTATTCCGTGGCATTGGAGAGATGGTCGATCACGGCGCTAATGAGAAAAACATTATCGTCCGTGACGTTGAGCACAAGAGTGGGGTCTTCCCAGCCCTCCGCCACAAGGTTGTCCACAGCTGTGGCCTCTTTGTCCAGGTTGATGGCGTGATCGTGGTCCTCTGCTCCACCCAAGATCTGTACCGTCAGGACATTCATCCTTGCCAGGTGCTGGCTTACTCTATCCCACCATGGCTCCACTGGCCCCACCGATGACGATACTGGAGACTCCGACGGTCGAGTGCTAGTTTCATTTTGGTTTTCTGTCGTGGTTGGTGAATTTTCATCTGTCGTGGTTGATGAATTTTCATCTGTCGTGGTTGGTAAATTTTCATCTGTTGTGGTTGGTGAATTTTCATCTGTCGTGGTTGGTAAATTTTCATCTGTCGTGGTTGGTGAATTTTCATCTGTCGTGGTTGGTGAATTTTCATCTGTCGTAATTGGTGTTTCAGAGAAATCTGTTGAATTTGGTGTAGCTTTATCATCCGTCAATGAACTGTTTTGGGTTGCTGTCCAACTTTCAGCTTTTCGTTGGATTACAGCAACATGGACTCCAGACACAGGAAGGGGCGGAAGCGCACCCCGCCTCCGAGGTCCGTCTACCAGGGTACTTTCGCGAAGAACTCTCCTGAAGTTGGCGTATCCCAGCGGAAAGACGCGCTCCACACTCCTAACAGCGCCTTCCTCCAAGCTGGAAGTGCTTTCTGAAGCTGGAAAAGAAATTAGTGTTTGTTCCGATGTTGTTGTTGTAGTGGGAGCCGTTGTTGTTGTGGAAGCCGTTGTTGTTGTGGAAGCCGTTGTTGTTGTGGAAGCCGTTGTTGTTGTGGAAGCCGTTGTTGTTGTGGGAACCGTAGTTGTTGTTGTAGTGGGAACCGTAGTTGTTGTTGTAGTGGGAACCGTAGTTGTTGTTGTTGTAGTGGGAACCGTTGTTGTTGTAATGAGAACCGTAGTTGTTGTTGTAGTGGGAACCGTAGTTGTTGTAGTGGGAACCGTAGTTGTTGTAGTGGGAACCGTAGTTGTTGTAGTGGGAACCGTAGTTGTTGTAGTGGGAACCGTAGTTGTTGGTGGCGTTGTTGTGGGAGCCATAGTTGGCGGTGATAGAGAGGTCGAGGTCATCGGTTGTGTTGTATTCTCAGTGAACTGAGTTGATGTGTAAGGTGTGGTGGCCGTGTCGGCCGAGGTGGTTGACGGGGCCGCCTCTGTGGTGGCCGTGTCGGCCTCTGTGGTTGACGGGTCCGCCTCTGTGGTGGCCGTGTCGGCCTCTGTGGTTGACGGGGCCGCCTCTGTGGTGGCCGTGTCGGCCTCTGTGGTTGACGGGGCCGCCTCTGTGGTGCCCGTGTCGGCCGAGGTGGTTGACGGGGCCGCCTCTGTGGTGGTCGTGACGAATGTGTCAACCAGATTGACGAGCCCATCCACAGACGACCTGGCGTGCTTCAGGGCGTTTTGGACTTCCTTCAGAGTGTCCAAATCGCTCACGACTGCAAGGGAGAGGAGAGATGGAACTAATGTCTTCCTCTGGAAAGTTCAAGCCTATATTCGATGTAATTACAATGATCATGGAGTAAAATAAGCGTCATGACTGTCACAATAACGTGGCTAAAATATGTTGACTAGACCACACACTAGAAGGTGAAGGGACGACGACGTTTCGGTCCGTCCTGGACCATTCTCAAGTCACAATCGACTTGAAAATAGTCCAGGACGGACCGAAACGTCGTCGTCCTTTCACCTTCTAGTATATGGTCTGGGCAGCGTCATAACTATTTGAGTCAGGGAAAAAAAGTCTCGTGTAGCAATATTCAAGGTTTGTGGCAAGTCTTCTAGTATAGCTCTCATTATAAAAATTCTCGGTGTCGGGGACAGGAATAAATTCCTGTCCCCGACAAAAATAAATTGTATAAATTCTTTGTATGTTATAGTTGTAAGTATACATCACGGAGCATAAACAGTCCTTGGACCTTATAACCTTCCCTGCTGGCAAAATGCTGAGTAAGGGCTAAGGGGCGTGCATGAGATGCAGTCAACGACTGGCTGTCATAGTAACAACGGACGATAACATGCTATATAGATCTGTTTGCTCATTACAACAAGTGGGCGTAACCTGTCATCCGAAGGTCGTGAGGCTATCAGGTAAACATATGAATAGCGCATAATGCCATGTTCTCGCAATGAAATACATTAGTTTTAAAATTTAAGCTAAATGTAATTATAATTATGAGAACTTTATATATATATATTATTAGGCTATGAAAATGTCGTAAAATTTGTAGGCAATTTTTAAGATGATTATATTATATATATATATATATATATATATATATATATATATATATATATATATATATATATATATATACACACACACACACACAGCTCCTGTGCGGAATTACGCAGTAAAAGCCTCTTCATCCGTTATTTTTGTTTCCATGCAAACACACACACACACACACACACACACACACACACAGTTTAAAACTAGGTATGTTTACATACCTAGTTTAAAACTAGGTATGATAGGGAAATGGGACAGGAGTCATTGCTGTAAACAACCGATAGCTAGAAAGGCGGGATCCAAGAGTCAATGCTCGATCCTGCAAGCACATATAGGTGAGTACATATAGGTGAGTACACACACACACCAGGATGCCACAAGTACCTGAAGCTCGGGTAGCCGTTGGCACACTGTAGACCACCAGCATCATCAAGAGCAGTCGAGTCATCATCATCATTCTATAGGGTCACAATTGGAAGGGACCTTGGCAGATCTTAGTTCCTGGGCAGTCTTGGTAGACCCCTTGGTTAATGACTTCGATCGTGGTCGATGTTTGGTGCCAGAGGCTTTATCTTTATATACTTCCTGTATCTGGTCTTGACCGGAATCCGTTTGATACTTACCGATTGTTAGCAACGTACAGATTCTAGGAGGCGTCAAGCGAGGGTGAAGCCTGAAAGAGAAGTATTACGTTGGTTTTTGAACACCAATGAAAACCTTGTATACACTTAACGCTCCACCAACGTAATACAATTCAGTAATAGGAGCGAACTTTCAGTGTTCATGTCAAGTGTTCTCTTATATTGTTATTTCTCCCTGATCCACGCGGCAAGGAGCAACACTTTCATCCACCTCAGCAGAACACGAATGTCTGCCTCAGATGTGACTTTACGCCATATCAACTGATATACCTTCATTGTTTACGTTATTACATATCTAAAATGACGTGGATCCGGTATGCTGCCTCCCACTCTCTCAGCATCCCTCCCTATCTACCCCCCCCCCCCTCTCTCTCTCTCTCTTTGCTATACCTGAAGGTGAGGTGAGATTTAGTTTAATTCAAATTTTGCATTAAAAATATAGATCAAATGTTCCTATCCACTTGTGTACCTATTCATGTAACGCTAAATATTCAGAAAACAAAACGAGAAACTGCTAAATAAATATTACCTGATAAGGGAACAGTACTATCTTTCAGTGCTTATCAGGAATTTATCTATTATTAGTCGATCAATAATAATCTCTTAATACCATTCGTTTGATAACCAACGCAATATATGTATCTATAAAAGAGTATGTCTGTCTGTCTGTCTATCCAAAGAGGCCAGAAGCTTAGGGCTAGACTCGCCCAACTTTACAGGGTGAATGGTCTGAGATATGGGACAGACACAGGCTGGTCAGGGTCAATAAAATCCAGCGTGCCACATTGACATTAACCAACCCCTTCCCATTTCGAAGTTTGACATTGGTTGCCAGTTATTACTAAATATTTTGAAAACAAAAAATTCAAAATCAATTATTTTCTTTATAGTAATATACAATATTATTTACTGCTGCCAGATATATAACATTTTCTGCTATTCATACTTCGGCCATAGCACCATAGAACACGTAAAAACAATTACCTCTCCTCCGACCGCCTACTCCTACCGAAAGACAACCCACCAACTTACCGCAGATTCAAGGTAAAGGGGGTAGTTATTTTATTTGTTAATAATATAATAAAATATATATACTATATATATAATTAAAATTAAAACAATAAATTAAATACAAAATAACAGGGGTGGTAGGAGAAGAAAATATTATGGTGTCCAGTGAGAATCCACAAGGTCTTCTCTGAATACTCTTTATTTTCTTCTTCGAGGCTATATAAATAAATCAACTTTTCACCAATTGGCAAATAGGCTGAAAAGTTTACGTTGCACGATACACCATAGTCAAATGCATCCCTCCAATATTAGTAATCCTGTAGTTCGGATTCAGGTATTTGCCAAAAAAACTACCACCACCCTATATAAATACAGGTATTGTATTCTGCCACTATTTGTGTTACATGGATGAAACTTGCATGATATCGGTACATCCAAACGCCAAATATTAAGATATATGAGCGAAGAGATATTTATAAAATAAAGAAATTAGCTGTATTAAAAAAATATTTAACAATTTAAACTGATCTGAACGTCCCAGAATTCACGATGCGTGTGCAAAATGTGTAATTAGTCTTGGGCCTTGCCACATCACGCACGAGGCCTTTTACACCATATTACGCTTGACCTGGTTTTATTAGCTAACAGACTGGGGGGATAAAGGGAAAAGTAAATTCGAAGGTAGTCTTTACCAAGATTGTAAGTAGAAATAACGGTCGTTTATCATTACCCGGTTAAGAAACTGATGTCACGTGTGATCACCTATTTACTATAGCAGTCATAAGATGCAGCAGCACACCCGCCTGGATGGCGTCCCTCTTAGCCAGTCTTATCGCAGTACCCGTTCCCACCAGTCCTTACACCGTGCTCTCTTAAGAATCTAATATACCTCACTGTTTTTCCTTCGGAGTAAATAAGACTTTCCCAGGTACCGCTCCCAGTGGCGCTCAACATCTGCAGCGTAACATCTACCTTAGGAGACGCTTATTATAAGAGCTGTCCGCCATTATCCTTCAAATAAATTCTTCTGGCAGACTCAACGCCCGCAAGAATAACCAGGTTTTAATTTATTTCATATCCAGTTCTCAGTTTTGTCCTTCCACAAAATACTTAAACCCTCGTCCGTCATCTCAAGATCAACTTCTAGCAGTATAAGGATTTCTGAACTCTGTACTCCAGTATTTTGAGTTTATTTTGTATTACATTCGGCCGAACGTCTAAACGCCATCCACCCTCTTAATACTATTACCTTAATCTAAAAACTGGTATACAACTTTATAGTAGTCAAATGCCAAGTTCCAATATATCAAATGAGATAATAAACAATCTTCCAACGAATAACTTCACAAACGTAATTATTCTATTACAAAACTGCGATGCAATCTTGGTTGTTCACCCACTGTGCTTCTCTTGTGAGGAGTGTTATAGATTTGTATTAACCATGTAAAAATTACATAAAAATCACAGGAACGCATGAAGTTAACATTATGAAGTACGACTTAGAGGAAACTAGTGGGAATTCTTCGTCATCTACCTGGCAAACTATATGCTACAAGAAGGAAGAAACTACCTATGGTCCTTCAGCTCAGACAACAGAGTCCACGAGAAGTGTAGCTGCGAACAGCCAACAGACCTCGCCCGAGGGACACTCCCACCAAAACTTGCTTCATGAAGATTCTGGGCCCGCGATAGCCCCCCAGGTATGCATTACTGTTTTAATGTCTCTGTCTGTCTCTCTCTCTAAACACGTATTCATCCAGGTTTCATGCATATTTAAATTGAAGTCTGAGGAAATCTCTTGAAGTTTCTTACTCTCAATTACTAATCACCCAATTTGACTTACTTCTTATCAACGCTAACGAAGTTTTCATTAACATTTATTTGGATATACTTTTTCACTAATGGCATTTACACATTCAAATTAACTGCATCCCAAAACAAAATCTATATTACATTAACTAAAAATTATCTTCTTGGATCCATCACCATTATTTAATATTTTACGTTATCATCTGCCTTGAGCAGCATCATCCAACGTATTGCAAATTTTTCAGTGCAGGAAATATAACCAATTTGTATTTCTAATTTGTTCTTTTAATCTATCTGTATAAGATTGAGTGTTCAAGGTTGGAGGCCAGCCACTTGGCCCTAACCTCGCACAACTATTTGAATGGCAATTTTTTTTTTATTTTTTTTTTTATTTTTACATGCAAGCATGCGTATAAGTTACAATAAAAGCAGAAACAAATATAACATAGAACAAAAGTACAAAGCACAAAGCACACATATGTACACGGACAAAGGAACAAATCAAGAGAAGACCAGCCAGAAGGGCTGACCACAAATCAAAAATGCATATACAAACATAACAAATATAAACACAGCGGAAGACAAACATAGGGGAAAACCCCATAACAAAATGCACACAATACAAGCCTACTAACACCTCAAACACATACGAAGAGGCGAGGAACATACAATAATAAGGATAATAACAATAAAAGAAACAGATCTGCCATAACAAACGGAAGGCAAAACAGAACAAAGAGCACACGCCAACAGCCTGAAGGGCACACAATATGACAAACAAGCGCACACGACACCCACCACCGAACACACAAACGCACAGGAACCGCACCCCCACCCACCAGCCTTACAAAGAGAGCTCACAACACAAACCGGAGCAAGCAGGAACCGGGAAACAAAACCCACCCCATACACTCACACACACATACCCCCATCCACACCCCACAACTATGCACACAACAGGAAACACAGAATACACAGAAATCATTTGCGAGGAACAATGTGAGAAATGTACTTCTCCGGGAAAAAATCGTAAGGATACTTCCTCTTGTAAGCTTCCCAGACCAAATCTTCAAGGTCGGTAGGGTTTTTGATCCCCCGCTGCCGAGGGGGTACCATAAACTCAGGAACATCCAGATCGGCCGGCATCGGCCAACGCCCGAGGTCACTGACGCAAGTCGCATAACGAGGCCGGGGAGCGCCATCCATGCCCTTCGAGGAAGCAGACGACACTGGAGAAGCGGACGAGGGCTGCCGAGACTGCCACGCCGTCGCACGCATTGGAGCAGGGGCCGGACGATGAAACGGTAGCACCTCCACGGAGACCGCAGGAGACACGGAAGAGACTGCTGGAGACGAAAGAGGCGGCATGACCGCTACCGAGGAAGGGGCCACAGAACTCCCAGAGCGAGCATCCTTTCTCAACACCATCACCAGGCCACCCCGCTCACCACCGCAGCAAGGGAAACCACCCCCCACGAAGAACCGGAGCCATCCGACGCAGGCACCGCACCTGAAGCAGGACCCTCGGACACCGGACCAGATGGGGAGGCCGAAACACCGGCACCGGCATCCTCAGGCAAGTGCACCTCCGCCACCACCGTAGTGTGCACCACAACCGGAGCCACCCCACCGTCACCGGAAGGACCACATTCGTCGAAGTCGCCAACTCAGCCCACGCAGAAGAACCCCGGGAACGCTTAGGCTCGGGCCGCATATCATCAGACCCGGAGGCAGACTCAGCGACACGCACAACACTAGCCGGGCGAACCGACGCACGCCGCAGTACGGCAGCATCCTCAACCACATGGGGCACCAGGCCAGGCACAGGAGGAAGCACCGGATCCACCCCAGCTCCCAGCACAGCCGGAACAGACGGCGAGGGTGCAGGGACCAGGACAGACACAGCAGAGGAAGAACTGGAAGACGAGGGGTCCGAGCAGACGGCAGTCGGAAGAGGCTCAGGGACACCAGCCGGAGCAGGCTGAACACCAGGGGAGGACACAACCTCCGGAGGAGAGGCGACAAAAACAGGCGGAGCAACAGCTGACACAGAGGGCACCTCCTCAGCCGAAGAGACGTCCACATCCACCGAATCATCCCCCACAGGAAGCGGCGGAAAATCCTCCTCACTGAAACAGATTCACTGGCGCAACGGCAGGTGCAGAACAGTCAGCAGCCTGATGGCCCAAAAGGCCACAACGATAACACGTCC